ATATATATGTTACCCAGTTTACATGCAACTAGAGGAAAAGGGTAGATAATAATCACAGGAGATAAAAGAAAAACTCGGCAAGGTATCTAGCAAGACCGCTCGTGTCGCTTCAGTCAGTGGGTCGACAGCACAGTATAACAAACGCTACAACCTTGCTACTGTAGGACAAATAATGGGACCAGTAGCGACCTGTTTGTACGATGCCCAGATTGACGGTATCAGTCTTTTTTCTAGCCCATTTCATAGCCGACTTGTAGCTCAGGCTAGCTTTATTTTCCTGATCGTTTTGACATGCTACATGTCTTTTTTTCGCTTTCACGTGTCGTACATGTGCTTCTTCTGGCTTATTCTTTTATCAGGCGGAGCGTCCGCTTAAGTAATGTAAGAAAACAAATCTAATTCACTGCCGCTAATTGTGCTAATATAATGAGTGAAAGTTTAAGCACACCCTAATTGATTGCAGCTGCATTCTCTAGAGATGTGTCCCACACTAAAATATTCTAATATATAAGGTAAATTTATATTTCAAGCAAGCGGTCGTAATAGATTAGACTTGACCGCGCTTGAGGCATACATTCGTCTTAGTAGTTACTGGAATAATTTTTAGTCCCTATCAATTGAGTATATAAAAAAAAATAAACCGTTTAAAGAATTATTTTCAGTCTGGAACGGTACACTACGGGCAGTAACTCTGTCTTTGTAAAAGCGGTACAAAGATTCGACAGGGATAAGTTTGTACCAACCGTTGTGAATTTCCTATACATAAAAAAAAAACAGTTTAGCATCTTAACACACTTATCGGAAAGCATCTGTAAATGCAAGGCAGATTTTTTTCAAATTAAAATTAAATAACCGTGAATTATGGCTCTTAGAGACGTGCAAAGTAACTCCATAAGGCGAACACTTTTACATTTGATTTTTAATTTCTATGTTTGCGCTTATCGTTGAAACTATTAATGATCCTATCACATGTGTAATCTCTAAACAGAGCACGTTTGAATCTTTTAATCTAGCGTTACCGTTAATCTTTGCACCAAATTGCAAAGCTCTTTTTTTTTTTTTTTTTAGTCAAAAACATCTATTTGCCTTATATTGAGCTTTGTAAGAAGACACGTTACAGTTGAATCACTATGGGGATACACATGAAACAACAGTCGTGAATTGTGGCCACGGGTGGAAGTCCATTATCACTAATACCTATTTTAAATAATAATAATGATCTGCCCACCCATTTTGTTCGACTCTGACCGCAACTTCAGTCTGTCTTCCAGTACCCACCACTCCTGAAACATATATCTCTTACTAATAAGGCTCCTTGCGACGTCTTGCCAGTGAAGAACTTCCGCTAATCGCTTGTTATGGTGTGTTTTACAGAACACACCATATTTCTTACAAGAACCGACTAAATTATCGGGCCAGCAACTTAGTCCGTATAAATTCTGGATGCCCTTATAAATAAATCTATTCTAACTAAATCCGGGTTTTCTTGGGCTACGGAGCTCTGTCAACATCAGAGTCCAAAAACACTGGCTGCAGAATAAAAAGTGGCTAAAATGCACGCTATTACTTTACCTGGGTATATTTTCCTCGATCTGGTTCCCACTCTGATATTCTGAATGACGGGTAGATTTTATTGAAATAGCACGAAATTGGTAAGTGCACGTGCGTTGTTGTGAAGCGCCTACACTACATGAAAGCCAATCAGGATTCCATGGATTTCATGATTCGGCACGGATTTGCCTAACGAGAAATATCAGACTTTTTCTGAAAACCTCTACTGATCTATTTCGTCCACTTCCAGTTAGATTCCATGTGTAATAGTTTTCGTAAATTCTTGCCGCATATTGAAGCTACACCAATGTCCTTCATAGGAGTTAGCCCAAGAGTCTATTTATAAGAAATCTACTGTTATTACAGCTGAATCGAACGAAGACCTTACCGCAAAATTCGACACAATAGGCCCCGCTTTTAGTTTCCTATCTGATAACCTTTCGCAGTGTTTGTATCGTTAATCATATTCAGCCATTCATTTTTGCAAATTTTTAAATTTGGCGCCACGCTACTCCGTGTATCATTTGAACATACACATACAGCGATTGTTAGACATGTGAATTGAAGTCGTGACAAATAATGTATTGCCAGACAGTAGAACGGTAATTTTAATTAATCGTATAAACACGGCCTCTTCATCTGTATGTAATCTACTGTATCATAAAGCTCAATATATTTGATGAAAAAAAATAATAAAATAAAAACTTTTTGTCGCGCAATATGAACTGTGACGGTATTTCTCATTGCTGGACTCAGAATACGGTCAGAGTAAAGTTACGTTAAATCGGGTACAGAACGGCGGAAATCTAGTTAGAAAGGTATAGTAGTAGCCAATACTTCGCTCTTACGAACTTAAGGGTTAACCACCAATGTACGTTATGTTTTATATTCCTTTTACTATAAAATAATGTGTATTCATTTTTGGCACCGTGATGGTGCCGCAAAACAAGTTATTAGGCATATTTATGCTTGGCAGCAGTCCGATCCAGCTTTATGAACTTTGTTTTGATTCTCATTGTTAAGTTTTTTTTTTTTTTTTTTTTTTTTTTAAACAAAATTGCTGCCATCTAGATTTAGCGGTTGGCTTAAAGTACAATAACTATGCGGGACGTAATTGTCCCACGGCTTGAGGTTGCACTTCACAACGATCTCATCGTTGTCGCGAAAGAGATCGGCTTTGTTGTCACGTTCATAGTTACTCTTCGCGGCCGGGTCGGCTAAGCTGTATTGCAGCAGAGTGTGATGTCGACACGTTTGAGACACGTCGTAAGGATGAAGTACCCCCCTTAAAATAAAATGAAATACCCCTGTTAAAGATTTTCCGCCCAGAAAATTCTCGCAACAAGATATTTCATCAACTATTTATGCTAGCCGAGTAGACGCATTCCGTTTCGATACGGCCGAAGTTTTAACAATGATCGATACATAAGAATTGAAATATCTGTTAATGCCTATTCAAATTGTTGGCAAATTTTTGACTAGTTACATCTGTGGAAAATAACCTATACACAACTGTTCATTTTAGTCATTGCTAGCGCAAAATCGGTCTTAGAACAGTTATTTAATATGAAAATTGGCGCACACGTGCTAGCTAGTACGAGGAAGGGAAGAACAATTGTTCTCTAACAAATGAAATTGTATGAGAAGTAAACTCTACGTTAATTATCATTGTGAAATTATTAAAATTTAAAAAAATTGCGCATGCTTTATAATTTTAATAAAATCTTTTACAGATTGCAGTCTTCAATTATATGAGCCTCGATGCGATCTATAAGCTATACACTCGAAGGTACCATAATAATAGAAAGAAAAACCAAGGACTGCAGCGAGACGAGTTTGACTAATGCAGGTGGAAGAAAGTATAATTGATAGAAATGGAGACCTCGTAAAGATCCCAGGGAGAAGAAGCGGGATAGTGAATATCCATATATTACATCTTATCATGTAGATGTTCTCTCGGGCGAGCTCTGTTTGGACAATTGCTCAAAGCATTAGACAAGGTTTGTAAACATTTTCTGCGTTTCTGTCTAGTCCAAGGCCAACCATAATGCCAAGTATAGTATATACATCGTGTCTGCGCGATTCCTTCTAAAGATAAATGGAAAAAAGCATAAAACAAATATAATCGAAAACTTTAAAACAGCTCTTTTCTCTAATAGACAAAAAAAAAAAGATGAGTTTTTTATGATGAAATTTTAATAATTTAAAATTACAAAGAAAATCACCAGCATTCGTACCAGCCATAAGTTGTAGCGTTTTCGGCCGAGGGCAATTTTTTTCATTTAGTGCGCTGAAAGGGCTTGGCCGAATTGCTACTCGGACAAAGCTAGTTGTATTTGGCCTAAGAAAAAAATCAATAGTTGATTCTTCT